CATAACGATGTTAATTGGTTCCATTAAAAACATCGTTATGTGAAAACATCATTAAGCGAAACACCATTTCCCATAGGAATGCATTGAAAACCGGTTAATCCGTTCCAATAGGAGCCTATTCAATACATTTCAATGGTGAAAAAAAAATCACCAAAAATTCAAAAAGACTCAGAACGAAGCCAAATTACTTTAACGAAGGTTTTATTAGCTGCACTAACGATTCCAAGCATTTTAAACATTTTTTAAACATTTTAGAATATTTTTAAAATAGCGAAAACAGGGCTGTCAAAAAAACGTTAAGCGAAACAGGGGACCTAAAACTGTCATTGTTAAGTGAAGCAAGGTCCCAAACATCGTTATGCGAAAATCCCCCATAGGAAACATCGTTAGGTGAGGCAGCAAAATTTCCAGCAAAGGCCATCGTTATGCAAATCATCATTGAGCGAGGCACTCATTAAGCGAGGCACCACTGTACTTAGGACAACATTTTACCACTATTATCAATAGAAAACCTCACTAATTTCTTGCCCCAGATCCAAACTGGAGGCCCAAGGTTGGAGACCACTGTCTTAGAGGACACAGCTCTGCCGTAGAACCTGAAGAGCAGGTCATATCCATTTGGCAATGATGCAGCAACTGCTAGATCTTGGTGGCTTATGTGTCTTCATAGGGGGATGCAGTTTTGTGTGATCTAGTCCTTTACATTATGCACTAAAATGTCTCGGATGACCCCTAAAACACATTCAGCTTCTTACCTTCTAAAGGCAGTTACAGAAGGCAGAAGAGAGAACAAGGAGGTACTGGAGAGCTCCTTATCAGCCACACCAAATATGACTGAGATCTGCAATGGGGCACAACCTATGCATATCACAGTTTGATAAGGTAGAATCCAAGGGGAAGATAGATCAATGATAGGAAGCTGAGACCCATTAGATGGCAGTGATAGGTAAACAACAATAATTGTTGGTGGTCATCATGAGTGAAATAGAATGGGGATCTGAGACTGTTGGTTTGTGGTTTCAAAAGAGATGCTCAACGATTCCCTGAGTGCATTCATTTTTGCAGATCGTTGTCATTGATGACAATGAAGTGGAAATGTGGCCCTGGTCTGGTTCTCCTCCTACCCTTTCTATTTCCTCCACCACCCGATTATTTTCAGCATGCTGTTGCCTTTTTCCTTTTCTGCCTTGTCTATTCCAGCACTACCAGGTTGGCCTGTTGCCTTCACTCACCGTGGTCTTCAAGAACAGAACAGTGTTTTATACAATCTGCCCTGGGACTCTCAGACTAATCTGTTGCCCTCAAGGTCCATTCACGATGCTGCCTTATAAGTAGCGTAGGAGGAAAAAATTCTCAAGATTCTCTACCCTTGCAATTTATTCTCCAGTCCATTTCGTCCATGACCTTGTCTTCATCTTTTCTCGTGGCCTTGAGGTAGACACCCTAAAAGAGATGACATTCAGCAGGCTTTAAAATATGGAGTCCATGCAAATCACCCTGACTGATCCACCTATTTAAAGGCACACCTACTTAGCCACTTACACCTTTGCAACACTGAGCCCACCAAGTCACTCCATAGAGCCATTAAAACAGTTGGCAACATGGTCATTTGGTTGACCCTTCTTCCGTTCTTTGCTATGCTCTCAGGTAATATCTCTCACAAAAAAAAAGCCAGCACTTTAGGGCTTTTCTTTATTATCTTATAATTATCTTATAATATTTGACTTATCTTTCATTTCAGGCTGCCATTCTGAAGTTCAACTGGTGGAGACAGGAGGAGGTGTTGTGTCACCAGGAGAATCCCTTCGCCTCTCCTGTAAAGCTTCTGGATTCACTTTTAGTAGCTACTACATGAGCTGGATCCGACAGGCTGCCGGGAAAGGGCTAGAATGGGTGGCCACAATAACTCACACTGCAAGTAGCCAGTGGTATAACTCCAAGGTTCAGGGAAGATTCACCATCTCCAGAGACAACGCGCAGAGTCTGTTATCTCTGCAGATGACAAGCTTGAAGACTGAAGACTCTGCCGTGTATTACTGTGCGAGAGACACAGTGGCAACTTCTGCTTCTAGGCTTGTACAAAAACCTCTGCATCCTGTCCAATCCCTCCACACACACC